TACCAAAAGGGCATAGCGGAATAAGCATGTAAAATCTACCCCCGCACCAATCGAGCTCAAATTGGTGTCATTAGTTGGCTCTCCTAAGATGTAAAACTTCCCAAATATTAACCTCGAAATCGCATTTTTTGGGGAGTTATGGAGAGGGACAGCATAATAAAAAAAGTGATTTTCTTCAGAAACGACCGTATCGATTTTAACGAAAAAAATGTATGTTGTAAACATCGTTTAGATAAGATAAAAAAAATTGTTTTGAAATTTTTACGATGAAAACAAAACCATTAAAAAATTTTTTAATTCTTTATGAATTTTTTTTTTTGTGACCACTTTTATACTTCATAAAAATAATCTATAGACTCTCTACTTTAACATATATTTTTTTTTAATTGAGTGGTGGAACATGGTTAAAAAAACAATCATTCGGCAACGCCGTGCCGACTGGGCGCAACGGCCGGCACGCTGCAGCGCATGGCGGCTGACGCACTGTGGCGCATGGCGGCTGTTACCATGGTACTATATACTAACCTTGTTGCAGTGTTGCAATGTTCAATTGCCAAGTAAATTGATAGAGACAAAGATTTTATTATTGCCTACACATTTATTCAGTGAACATTATAATATTATATAATAATATATAATATTACATATTTCCATTAAGGTTATATTCTGGTGTAAAATTTTAGAAAAATCAATTCTTTTATTGCATATTTCGATTGTACAACATTTCAAGAATACACTGTCAACATTTCAGAAAGAAATTCGAAGAATCAACAATACTACAACCAAAAGTTTTTTTAAAGCCAAATGTTTCAGAAAATTGAAAGCTTACTTTATGGACCAGGAATCACTGATCAACGGTAAATAGTTTAATTATCATTTTATCCAAAAAAAATCTAAAAAAAAACTGTATATGCATTTTTTTTCGAAACGTTTTTTTGAGTGGTTGACATGATTTCGGGAAAACTAATCGACCGATTTAAAAAATTCTTGCGACATTGTATTCGCAGATTGACTAGCTATCACGTAAAGCGATTTCATTAAAAATTAAATTTTTTATTCAATTTTTTTGAACGAAAAAATAGCGTTTTTTCACATCACTTTCTAAAAATATGTGTCAACTCGCGAATTATTTTTCAATAATTCTGCTTTACGCGATAGCCACACAAATAAATTTTAAGAAAAAATTTTTTATTTCAGGATATTGGTTCTCGAGATATCGTGTCAATCGTTTTATTTCATTTTTTCAACGCTGCGCCTCTCAACTAATTTCTTGGAATTTTAAAACAGAAATATTACTGTGGAAATTTTTTTTTCATATATTGACATGTGTATTAATAATTGTATCAAAAATTAGAACCGTGTATAGTTTTCTTTAAAAAAAATTTCAAAAAAGGCCTTATTTTTAGTGCGGTTACACCAGAATATATCTTTAAGGACGTCTGCAGTTAGCATATAAAACTTATAGTTCCCGGAGTTTACCACGAGAAGTATCGCTGAGTACTTCTGCCGATTTAAAAATTTTTGATAAATATCTTGCATAAGATAAATATTATAATACATTATTGCGGCAATATGGGAGCAACAACCAATTGTTCGTCTGCCATTAGCACACTCACATGCATAACCCCGGAAACACCGATACTATTTGATTTGTATCAGGAAACATCTATATGTTGCACGAAAAATATGTCGGGAGATAGAACTTTTAGTATAAGAACATTTTTCTCATCCTTGACATATTCTATATTTAATTTACCATTTTTATCTATCATCTTTACCAAATACGACACGGCTTGAAAGAGTTGATACGAACCGGTAAAGAAAATCTTCATGTCTGCTTCTGTCATTTCTGGAAAATCCAAAAGATCATTATATGTAATATTTTTGAAAAGGAGTTTTCGGCGAAACCATCCTTTTTCTTCAGCCTCAATCAGAAATATATTTAATCAGCGATATATTTAAGAAAGATAATTTCATTTCAATTACTGAAAGTGATAGTGACGATGATTAAGAATTAATTAATTCTCTTCTGCTAATGTGAGAGTTTCGTTAATAAACACATAACGTAAGAGGCGAGGGGGCTCACGATAAAAAAGCACCCCGATGATAAATACATAAAGTGAGAGGCGAGGGGACTCTCGTTAAAAAAACACCCCGAGAATATGGAGTTTAAAAACGTACTGCAACTTCCTCGTGGTAAACTCCAGAAACTGTAAGTTTTATAGGCTAACTGCGGACGTCTTTAATGGAAATATGTAATATTATATATTATTATATTATAATGTTCACTGAATAAATGTGTAGGCAATAATAAAATCTTTGTCTCTATCAATTTATTTAACAATTGAACATTGCAACACTGCAACAAGGTTAGTATATAGTACCATGGCAACAGCCGCCGCAGCGCGCCGGGGTCAGTACGGCGTTGCGCGATTGTTTTTTTAATCATGTTCCACCACTCCGATCAATTTAAAAAAAATATATGTTAAAATAGAGAGTCTACAGATTATTTTTATGAAGTATAAAAGTGTCACTCAAAAATATCACCAAAAAAAAAATTCATAAAGAATTCAAAAATTTTTTTAATGGTTTTGTTTTCATCGTAAAAATTAAAAAAAATTTTTTTTATCTTATCTAAACGATGTTTACAACATGTATTTTTTTCATTAAAATTGATACAGTCGTTTCCGAAAAAAACCATTTTTTTTATTTCGTTTTTCCCCTTCATAACTCCCCAAAAAATGCAATTTCAAGGCTAATATTTGGGAAAGTTTTACATCTCAGGAGTGCCAATTAATGACACCAATTTGAGCTCAATTGATGCGGGGACAGATTTTACATGCTTATTCCGCTATGCCCTTTGATTTATTTTTCAATATAGTCTGTTTTTAAAAAGTTACTGACACTTATCAAACTGCCCATGTACATTGTATGATTAATCGAAATTTTTCAAATTCAGTCAAATTCACACTTCAGAACTATTATTATATTAGGTAAAAATAGCATTCGAAACTGGTTTTGTTCCACTAAATATTAATTATACAACGCCAAGGAAAGATATAGATGTTTCGATAAATAATTGTGTTTGTGTAGGGGGGGGTGGGGTGAAAGTCGCTTCGCGTGGAAGTCATGCGCCCCTAAGCAGTGGGAGAGGTGCGGTGGAAGTCGTTTCGCGTAGAAGTCGTGCACCCCTAAGCAGAGTGAGAAGGATGATTGTTTACATTCTTTAAGAGATTAGTACGGCATATACAAATTTAATTTTCATAATATACCTCTTATGCCAATATTATTCTCTGCATATATACTATAGAACTTTAATTTACTATATCTCCTAAATCAATGCTGTTCCCCACTTAATTCTTGTAGAGAATCACTCAGGACATTCTCCCCTACAACATAGATATCTAAAGGGCATCGAAATCGGTAAGGTGTCACCTAAAATAAATATTTACCAAAGAAATGATTGAATCTACTGAATCTATTATTTATATACAGAAATTGCAACAGCAAATGTTTTGTAATTAGATAAGCGGTCAAAACGTTTTTGGATACCATAAATCTGCAACGGCAAATATGATTTCGTATTACTTCGATCTAAAAGGACCATCTTATACTCTCGATACAGCATGCAGTTCTAGCCTTCATGCTCTAGCCGTTGGTTATGAATGTATCATGTCAGGCAAATGCGAAGACGCAATAATTGGAACAGCACAATTATGTCTTTATTCCGTAACAAATCTGCACTTCGCTCGACTTGGTATTATAAATATTTATACACATTGTATTTTTATTAAAATTTGGTAGCCTTGTAATACAATAAGCATGACATTTAGAGACTCACACAAACCATTCCTCATTTACAAATAATAAATTCCAAAAAATCATTTACAAAAACTACAATATATAATTTCAATAAAAACGTTTCTAACAATGTATTTAAAAACTGAAAAATACCATATTAGAAAATACTATAAAAATGATCATTTTGATTTAAACATAATTCATTATACGCACGTTCAAATATGCTTACTATACTTTTTAGGTATTGTGTCACCCAACGGTTATTGCAGACCATTTGATATCGCTGCTAACGGTTATTCGCGTAGCGAAACAATTGCAGTAGTATACCTTCAAAAAGCGAAAAATGCTAAGAGGATTTATGCCATATGTCCCCATGTAAAATTAAACAGCGATGGTTACAAAGAAGAAGGAATAACATATCCTTCATCTCGAATGCAACATATCTTACTAAAGGAATTTTATGAGGAGTGCAAAATACCAACATCTTGTTTGGATTACGTCGAAGCACATGGTACCGCTACCGTAGCTGGCGATCCTCCAGAAATTAATGCTATCTATAATGTTTTGTGTAAAAATAGAGAAACTCCATTAATGATCGGCTCCGTGAAATCTAATCTCGGGCATTCTGAACCTGCGAGTGGTTTTAATCAGATTGCTAAGGTAAAATAAATGGTGTTTTCGGTTTTGTCTATTATTATAAAATTTATTTTTGTTTGATATAGTTTGATAAATTAGTAATTCTTATATATTACTTTTTTTTATCAAAATTTGATTTATTTTTCATAGTCTTCTTTCAAAAAGTCACTGACTTATCAAACTACTCATCTACATAATGTACGATTAATCGGGGTGACACCCAGTTGGACACGGCTCAATTGGACACGAGCCACTCACAGCGCTTGAGACTACAAAGCTGCTAAGCACCGGTCGCTGTGATTGGTGGTGTCCAATCGAGCCGTGGTCAATCAGGATCATCCCGATTAATCGACATTTTACAAATTCGTTCAAATTCATACTTCAGAACAGTTATTATAACTATTAGGTAATAATAGCATTCGAAACTGGTTTTGTTCCACCAAATATCAATTATACAACGCCAAGGAAAGATATAGATGCTTTGATAAATAACAGTGTTTGTGTAGTACAAAAACCATTGCCACTGAAAAACGGTTATATAGGTATTAATTCTTTCGGTTTTGGAGGATCTATTGCTCACACGTTATTAAAGTGGAATAATAAACTAAAAATAAATAATGGAGCACCAAACGATGACTTACCTAGGCTTGTCATATTATCTGGACGCACTGAAGAATCAGTGAAATTGTTTTTAAATGACGTTAGTGTAGATTTTTCAAAAATATTTCGATACTACTTTGAGCAATTACAGATACTATATTCCAATTAAAAAAATTTATTATTACAGATTGCTAACCATCCAATAGATGCAGAATATGTTCGCTTATTACACGATATCCATGCAGACAATATAAACGGTCATCCATGGAGAGGGTACACTATATTGCAGAATACCTTACAAGATCCCATAAAGGAAATTCGAAATTGTGAGGGCGTGAAAAGACCTGTTTGGTTTGTATTTTCAGCCTTAGGTTCGCAATGGCCAGGAATGGGTACATACTCAATATTTCATATTGTATTAATAAATTACTTAAATAACAAAATGATATAATTTAAAAACTAAAATCTTATTAGGTCGAAACTTATTAAAGTTTCATGTCTTTGCTAAAGCGATAAGAAAGTGCGATGATATTTTAAAGCCGTATGGTATAAGTGTCATAGACATTATGACAAAAATAGAAGAAAGCATATGCGAAAACAGGTTGAACGTTTTTCTCGGAATCGTCGCTATTCAGGTAAAGAATT